ATAAAATTATTTATGTAACTTCACATTACAACTTAAGTTTTTTTTTTTTAAGAGAATTGGCTCATGAGAAAGCATGACACAAAATATTATAAGGCAATTCAACATTTTTTAATAATGTATAATTTATAATTATTTGATAGTATAAAAAAGTTATCATACCATATTTGATTAACGGTAAACACATATTTTTTTTATACTATCATATATTTATATATCATAAAAAAGGAGGGTTATATTTACAAATTTTTTATTTATAAACTTTTACAAACTACACTATATTTTTTTGAGAGAACATTAAGTTATACTATATTCTCCCTAGAGTACATAGTATAATTTATAAAAATTTATTAAATTTTTTTTTTAAATGGATCATTAATTAATTCTACCAGTAAGAGTAACACTATCTCTCAAACTTTTTGATTTTGACGCTAGTGTGGAAAATGGTGGTTTTCGCTCCTCCCGTCTTTGTACGGCTCAAACATTATTTTATTTTATTCTTTGGTGAATCTCGTACATAACTCAATTGACTTACTAAACAAAGTCATAGTTATAGCCAAACAGTCCAACATACAAATATGACAGCGAATAAATATTTAATGTATCATATATATATTGAACTCGGTTCATCTATCCATTTATTTTGTGATATATGAACAAAAAAATATCACATAATCTTAAAAAAATATAATGCAATTTTTTTATCCACATATTACAAAATAATTGGACAAATATACCGAATCTTTACTGTATTCAATGCGCTAAAAATTAATTCTATTACAGCATGGCGCCACCGCCGCTCCGCAATTATTGAAGAATAATACTTGCTCGACATTAGTAGTCTATCCTCTATAGCACCATCATTTATTTGGGTTGATAACAAAAATTAATAAGGGAATGGAAATTATGTTTTTTTTAATATTTTACTTATTTTTCAACATTATTAAAATATAATTTTAAACGGCTTTTATCTTTTTAATTTTTTCTCTAAATTTTTATTTAATAGTGTGGGGAAAAAAATAGGTATAAAAAAGTATGTATAATATCTTATCCAAATTAATAATATAGGCTAACAGTAAAATTTTGTAATATAAATAAACAATATGGGTCAATAAAAAAGACAAAATAACTTTAATAAGATACGAAAATTTAGACAAATCTAAAATAACGTAGACTTGATAAGTGTATAAATGTGTGTGAATAACTATAATTATTAACCGACTAAATAATTTGAATTTATTTTTATTGTGGGAAATAATTTTATCTACTACATATCTAAGAAATCAAACAGAATATTTTTTCAATGGGAGCCTATAAAGCTCCTGGATTTGATGGTTACCCTGCCATTTTTTTCAAAGAAATTGGAATAGAGTGAAGGTTCAGGTTTGCACTGCTATTAAGAAAATGTGGGCCAATCCATCGTTAATTGCAGGGGTCAACTCAACTCTTCTAGTTTTAATTCCAAAGGTAAAGAAACCTAATGTTATTTCTCAGTTTCGTTTGATTTTCATGCGTTCGGTTATCTACAAGCTTTTCTTTAAAACCATTGTGTGACGGCTAAGGCATATGATGGAAAAGGTGGTTTCTCCTTATCAAGTGAGTTTCGTTCCAAACAGACAAATTCAGGATAATATTACAATTTTTCAAGAGTTAATACATTCTATGAGCAAGATGAGAGGAAAGAAGGCTTATATGGCAATTAAAATTGATATTGTAAAGGCTTAAGACTGAGTGAGCTGGCAATTCATGCGCAAAACTCTAGACGAGCTTCATTTCCCTAAATCTTTTGTTAATACTATGACTGAGTGAGCTGGAAATTCATGCGCAAAACTCTAGACGAGCTTCATTTCCCTAAATCTTTTGTTAATATCCTTTGGAATGGGGGAAATTGAAGATTTTACCCCTACAAGAGGTTTGAGGCAGGGGGATCCATTTTTACCGTATCTATTCATTCTGGCCATGAAAAAATTGACGCACGTTATTACTACTACTACAAATGGGGGTTTGTGGAAGCCTATTCATGCTAGAAAGGGTGGTCCGAAGATATCTCATTTTACTTTTGCAGATGATTTAATGATGTTTATGGAAGCATCTGAAGAAAAAATTCAAATACTTCTCAAGTGTCTAAGGATTTTTGAGGAGATGTATGGTCAAAAACTTAGCGTGGAAAAAACCTATGTGTATTTTTCCAAAAACACCTCTATGGAGATCATGGATAGAGTTGTTCAAATTAGCGACTTTAAGCGCATCAATAATGTGGGTAGGTACCTTGGTACTGTGATGCATCAAGGTAGAGTCTCAAAGAATCTATATGAAAGGCTGGTGGAAAAAGTTAAGAGTAAGCTTAGTAGTTGGGAGCAGTAGTGTCTTTCACAAGCGGGACGGATCACCCTATCCCAATTAGTTTTGGCTGCAATTCCATCATATCAGATGCAAAGTTGTAAACTCCCTTCGATGATGTGTGAGAACATAAAGAAGTTGTAAAGAAATTTTATTTAGGGAGATAAAGAAAACACCCGCAGACATCATTCCATTAATTGGAATATAGTCACGTCTCCTAAAGTATCTAGTGGTTTGAGGTTGAGACGTTTAGCTTAGATGAACGATGTTTTCCTGGCAAAAAAAGGCATGGAAAATTTATACGGAACCAGATCATCTATGGGTTCAAGTGCTTCAAGCTAAATACAAGGTTGGTAGTAGGAGAAATTCTCTTTTTGAAGCAAGAAAATGTGATTCTAGCCTTTGCAGAAATGTTTGCAGAACGTGGCATGTTATGGAGGACAATATGGTGTGGGAACTTTGCAATGGTAAAGAGGTTTGATTTTGGAAGGATAAATGGCTTCTAGTCTCTTATAGTTTGGAGCAATTTGCTGAAGAGGAGGATAAACAACTAATTGAAAATTTGAAGGTTGCTGATGTAGTCACTCAATCAGGTGAGTGGGACTTTACTAAGTTGAATGGTTGGTTGCCAATTAATATTGTTGATATTATCCGAAGTGTTTTGCCTCCCATGCTTGAAGATGGGCCTGATAAAAAGATTGAGGGTTCCAGAACTCTAATACTATTTATGTTGGTGCTTTATATGAATGTCTTTCTGATAATAAAGTCCTTGATGATGCTATTAAGAAGATTTAGAGTAGATTATGGGCTTGGAAGGGACATCAAAGAATTAAAATTTTCACATGGAAGTTGCTGCATCAGAGATTGTTAACGAAAAGCAAGGTATCTGAATGGAATGGTGGGGATGGCAGATATCCGTGTGGAAATGGAGAGCTTGAAACTATTATCCATTCTTTAAGAGATTGTAACGGGGCTAGATTGGTGTAGGACTGTCTTATTCCATCGCATCATAGCGCTGCATTTTATAATGCTACGATAGATCAGTGGCTAGCTACCAATTTCAGCGCTGATTTTATCGATAATGTCTATGATAGGTGGTTGTCTACATTTATGGTTGCTTGCTGGAAAATTTGGAGTTGGAGGAATATGATGAATCATGGAGAAGCATTACCTCCGATTGGGAGTAAAGTTGAATCAATTAATATTCTTGTTCGAGATATTGAAAAAGTTGTATCTCAACAGCTTGCCTCAAGACATAGTCCCCGTATCAGTAACATGACATTCTCTTGGCTCTTTCCAAAAGAAGGCTTTGTGAAGGTGAATACTTAAGGAGCTTCACGTGGTAATCCTGGTTGGGCAGCATGTGGAGGAGTAATTCAGAACTCTCAAGGTATTTGGTTGGATGGTTTTGCTTTTAGATTGGGTTTCTGTTCTTCTTTTAAAGCTAAATTGTGGAAAATTTTGAGAGGTTTGGAGAGGGCTTGGAACAATGGACACAAAAGAATCATTTTAGAAAGTGATTCGCTTATGGCGATCATTGGGCCCTAAATGGGGTGTAGCAGTCTGTGAAGTGCACTTGGTATCTCGTATACGGACGTGGCTTGAAAAAGATTGGCAGGTTCATCTTCAACACACTTTCAGGGAAGGAAAAACGTGTGTAGATTGGTTAGCTAACTTCATGCTATATTCTTCAGAACAAGATGATCAAAGATTCTTTGGTCAATCTCCGTATGGTATCCATCCTTTATATTTGGGTGACCTTGCTTCTGTGGGAAAGGATCGTGTAGTGGCACTCTCTGGGTAGTTTTCATTTATCATTTTTCTTTCTTTGGTTTCTTGGGCTTTTAGCCCTTTTATATATCAAAATAAAATAAAATAATGTTGAGTAATAAAAGGAATTTAAAATAAAATATTAGTAAAATTACTTTACTTATTATTAATGAGGTGTATCAAGTAAAAGTAAAAAAGTAAAATGACCTAGTATTAATTATTTAGTCTTATATAAAAAAATAAAAATTAATCATCTTTATAAATTTAAATTATTAAAATCAATCTCTTTCACCTTTCAAATTATGGCCAAAAATACTCTCTTATTATTTAGATATTAATATTTCTTATATTGTAGAAAATAATTTTATCTACTACATATACATAAAAGTGTGCGAGACTTATGTGAGATTATGTGAAAAGAAAAGAAAAGAAAAAATAAACCTTATACACTTTATATGTGTAAAAGATAATTTTATCTTCTATATACAATATGAGAGATATTAAAACCATATATTATTATGCCCATAAATTGCATTCAAAATATTTTATAAATTCCCATACACTTACAAGCACAATGGCTTTACTATAATTTACAAAAAAATAAAAAAATCATGGCATTTGAATTAATTTATAAAAACATCCTACACACAAATTATATATATATATATATATATATATATATATATATATATATATATATATATATATATACATATATACTACACTACCGTAATGTTTCACGAGGTTTTTTTAAATTAAAGGCCCCACAAACAAACACTTCCATTGAAATGTTCCACACACTGTAGAAAGTTGTGGTCTCTGTTCTTTCCCTTTTTAAACCTTCCCTCTTCGCATTCGCACACGCATCTCTCTCTCTCTCTCTCTCTCTCTGAACCACAGATAGAAACACAAACTCAATCTTTGTCATTTTCAAGCTCAAGCTACACTTTTTGCCATGGCGGCAGGACTCTCCGCCACCATAACCTTGAAGCCCCTTCGTCTCCACCACCAACCCTTGTCTCCTTTCATTCCCAAGCCAACCCCAACACTGCTCTTCACCCCCTTGAGATGTTTCCTTCACCGCACAACCCCTCGAATTCAAAGAATGAAAAGCTTCACCGTTTGTGTTCTCATGGAGGATCCAAAGCATGCCACCAACATCGAAACTGAAGCAGAAGAAACACCCCCTCAAGCGAATTATCCTCAAGCTGTGTCACCAAAAATGGTAGAGAAATTGGCCAGAAAAAAGTCCGAGAGGTTCACATACCTTGTTGCAGCAGTGATGTCTAGCTTGGGTATCACATCAATGGCAGTGTTATCTGTTTATTACAGATTTTCTTGGCAAATGGAGGTAGGTGGTTACTTTATAGTTGATAACACATTAGCATGTGTTAATAATTAGAATCTGAAATTGGGTTTGGTTGGTGTAGGGTGGAGAAATTCCTTGGTCTGAAATGTTTGGCACATTTGCTCTCTCATTTGGTGCTGCTGTAAGTCTTTTTAATTATGATTCCAATTCAGTTTTGGAAGGTGTTTGAATTCATAATTGAGTGAGTTTTTTGTGAATTTTGGATGATAAATTCAATTGGGTATTTCTGATTTTCAGGTGGGTATGGAGTTTTGGGCTAGATGGGCTCACAAGGCTCTCTGGCATGCTTCCTTGTGGCACATGCACGAGGTATGTTTCCAATTTTTTTTTATTCAAATTGATTTAATCTGGTTATATCATTCTCTCAACACCACTTTTTTTTATTCATAATTTGAATTTTGTTAAGAAATTTCAATCCAAAAATTTAAATTGTTTGATGAATGCACGTTAATGATCTTATATTCTATATCAAATTTTTCTAACATAAAGGAAATAAGCTCTTTATCAAGGGAACCAATGAACTTCAGCTTTAGTTTACCAATTTTTCTTTTTTCCATCTGCTTTTCACTGTTTCAGTCAATTTCTATGAAATACACTAACCAAATAAGCGTCCAAATTCAAACCTTGTCCGTTGGCGTTCAATTAAAGGCGTTTAATTAAAGGTTATAATATTTTTCATGTTGTAAGAGATAAATTTATCTCCTACACATATACATATATATATATAGAATCCATGTGGAGCCATATAAAAGAGAGAGAGAAAAAAAAACACAGGTCTGTATACTTTTATGTATATATAGTAAATAAATTTATTTTCTAAAAGATAAAAAACATTAAACTCTTAATTAAATATGATTTTTCATTTACTTGCCTGAGTCTAACACTGCAAAGTCCAAAACCCACAAGAAAAATTCTTTGATTTTGATTTCCCCTATTACAATTTATCAGCAACCAATCACTATAAACTATTTGATGGGGGCAACACAAACAAACAAGACATGAAATTTACGTTAATTGCAGTCCCACCATCGACCAAGAGAAGGACCCTTCGAGCTGAACGATGTTTTTGCAATAATCAACGCTGTCCCTGCCATCGCTCTCCTTTCCTACGGTTTCTTCCACAAGGGATTGGTCCCTGGCCTCTGCTTCGGTGCCGTAAGTGAATCTTTCATAATCTTTTTTTTTTTGTTTTCCTCTCTGTCTTTCTCTCTCTTGATTAACGGTTTTATAGAGAGTGAGATTCTTAATTAACGGTTTCATTGGGCAACTCTCACTGTGGTGGGTTACTTTTACTTATAATAATTACTTGACGATAATGCCACTGAACATTTTTATTTTGACACCCTTATCTATGAACAGGGTCTTGGAATAACAGTTTTTGGGATGGCCTACATGTTTGTACACGATGGCTTAGTTCATAAGAGATTCCCGGTGGGCCCCATTGCCAATGTGCCCTATTTCAGAAGGGTAGCTGCTGCTCACAAAGTAATGCCTATTTTCACTTTTTGACAAGAAAAAACCAAAAAATTAAAATAAAAATAAAATTGGTGTTTGTTTCTGTTTGGTCCACAAGTTCTGATTTCCGTGATTTTCTTTCAGCTTCACCATTCGGACAAATTCAATGGGGTGCCATATGGGCTGTTTTTGGGACCAAAGGTAAGATTTTTGTTTCTTATATATATTGTTCTTATCCTTGTTTGTTTCTTGTTGATTTGTTCGAACTTTAATATTATTTTATTTATGTCACTTGAGGCTTGCATATTATGGTGCTAACAACTGTTGGCTGATACTTAAATATGGCATGCAGGAAGTTGAAGAGGTGGGAGGGCTAGAAGAGCTGGAGAAAGAGATAATTAGGAGAACAAGATCATACAATAGTTCATGACAAAATCAAATATGAATCAAGAGTTGTTTCAAATAATTATCAGTGTAAAGAAAGAGTCAATGAAATGATTTCAAAATTTTGCCTGCATTTATACAGTTATTAATTACAATGATGTAAGAAAAATAGATATGAAATAATAGTAATAACATGAGGTGGTTAAAAATAATTGGTGACTTTTTGGATATCGATAATAATTGGTGCCTTTAGTTTTCGCTTTTGATTTGACAAAAAGAGAAAATGAGCCATCTTGTATTCCCCTAGTCCCAAGTGGGATGATATCAGTCAGCTACATTCCATTTACTCACAGTTGGTGGCCTTTCTGTGGGGCATTGAGCTATGTATGCCACTCAAGTATGGAAGGACCATACCCTGGCAACACCAATTACAAATGACTGAAAGATAGGGTAGGTTTTTTTTTTTTTTTTGAAATTTAATAGGGTAGGGTTTAGTTGGACTCAAATGTAGGTACATAATCTCAATGTGAATTATGATATCACAAAGTACGATTTTTGCTTGAATTGTAAACATTTGAGATTAATTTAATATCCAAGTCAAGGGATTGACCTAGTGTCTTAAAAAAGTGTGCTTGCCTACCTTGATTACTTGTGTTTAAAGCTTGGGATAACGTCTAGCAACATCAATTAATTTTCTTAAATGCAACGGATAATGTGAGAATGTATTCTCAGAATTGGTTATAAAAAAAAAAAATAATTAATAACAAATTCTTTTAACTCATAGGGCATGTGTATTTTATGTTGGGATAGGTTATTCTACATATTATTATTTTTTTATGTCTATCTTGCCTACCATTCTCAAATATCGTTAGATCAGAATCTCAAAAGGAGAGATAAATGATAAATGTTAATTGAAATTCTAATCTAACAGTGCTGAAAAGTGATAGGCAAAAAAGACATAAAAAAAAGGTATGTAAAATAATTTATCTCTTTTATGTTTGGTGATTATCAACGAGGTCGCAATAAATTATTATAAGTAAATTCAATATTACATTTAGCACAAAACCTTGAGGCCGGTCTTAAGATAGAGTCCATGAGTTATTTCACTTGTATGTCCTTACTTAGTTTATTTTTAATCAATGTGAGATATACTTGAATTTCTAACAATTTATCCGTTTATCCTTAAAACAATCAACCTCCTAACTAGGGTTGTATAAATTAGATCTAGAATATTCGTGGAAAAAATAAATTGTAACAATAATATATTTCACTCTCTTGCATACAATTTTGTTTTTTTACTTTAGCCTAGATAAGTCATGCTTATATAGAATATTTTGAGTTTGACTAGACCTATTAGTTTCATGTGGGCTAAATTATAAGTCAGGTCTGATGCATCTTTTAGAAATAAAAAACCTAATTAAACTTACCAAGAATTTTTATCCTGCTAAGAATCATAAAAATTGGATAAAAATTAGGGAAACGACTAATCTAATTCACTTTTAAAAAAAAAAAAAAATCTCAAATTATGTTATTTCAAAGATTATAACAATCTAATGCAGTGAGTCTCGTATATCCATGCAAAACTAGTCATGCATGCCTCCCATGTGGTACTGCCATCATGAATATTTGAAAATAAAAATCAGGCACAATTTTACTGTGGTAATTTTTATTTAAAATGAAATAATGAATACCTTATCTTATAAATTTGCAATACGTGGATTGACCCAACGGTGGCAATTGTGAAATATTGACTAAAATTCAGTACCTATTTGATAGTGGATTGACCCAATTCATTGGACCGATCCGATTCTGACCTGGTTTACTGGTTTTTCACCGGGTTGAATGCAACTCTGATCTAATATCTAAACCAAATCGGTTGGGGGTTCAATTTCTAAGTCAACCAGTTGGATCAACCGATCTAATCTGATTTTTACAATATTGAATTGAACAGTTTGATATTCCTTCCCATTTGAACTCATGACCAAACTTTTGTTTTTCGTTTTTTTTTTTTTTTTTAATAAATCATATAGACACTCTTATTCGAGGTGAAAACATCTGCATCACAGAGAGGTTAATTTTTTTAAAATTTTTTTTTTTACATTCAGAAGAACTTAAACTCAATACCTTTAAAGTAAAATCAAATATATACCACTTATATTTTTCTTTAAAATTTACATATATGAATCAATAGGGAAACACCGCCAAACACTAGAAAGTGAAAACTAGTCTCAATTCATTTGTAACTATTGACTTCTGAGAAAGGTGCATATCCCACTAAGGTTGCGTTTACCTATGGAATAAAATACGATTATAGAAACCATGAGTATATGTATCTTCCACGTTTCTTATAGAACCAAACAAACAGATGGTAGGTTATATATGAGAAAGGAAAACCAAATTAATTAAAGGGAAGTCCCCCCTGCCTCCATAGGAAACTTGAAGAAGCATTGCTAGCTTGTGGCGTGAGTTGACAGGCTTACAATATTTTATATTGTTTTTACTTTCTTGAATAATGATATAAGCCCCCCCCCTCTCGATTATTAGATTCTTTTTTTTTCTTTTTTAGTTTTATAAATTTGTTTATATCCAGTTCCGTCTCCCGTATGGTTCTTAATGGATACCAAACTTTCAACATTACAAAAATTATTTAATTATTAAACTTATATATCTCAACACGCCCCTTCATACAAGAGTCTATTGGGCTTGAAGTGGACAATGCAACAGGCCCAACCTACCTGTGCTAAGAAACGCCACAAGAGAGAGTGGGGGCGGCGAGGCTCTGATATACCATGTAAAGAACCTTGGGATACACCACCCCAAAAGCTAGCTCAAATGGTGGGAGTGCCCAAGGCCTTATAAACTCCACATTAGTTGCACATACAACCAATGTGGGACTATATATCTCAACACGCCCCTCACATAAGAGCCCATTGGGCTTAAAGAATGGACAATGCAACAAGCCCAGCCTACATGTGCTAAGAAACGCCACAAGAAAAAGTGGGGGGCGGCGAAGCTCTGATACCATATAAAGAACCTTGGGATACACCACACCAAAAGTTAGCTCAAAGGTGGGAGTGCCCAAGGCCTTATAAACTTCACATTAGTTGCTCTTCAACCAATGTGGGACTATATATCTCAACACACCCCCTCACGCAAGAGCCCTCTTGGCTTGAAGCGTGGATTATGCAATAGGCTCAATCTTTGGTTTACCTTTTTTGAGCTTGGGGCAGTGAGGATCGAACCTCAAGCTCTGATACCATATAAATAACCTTGGGATACACCACTCAAAAGCTAGATCAAAGGGTGGGAGAGCCAAGGCCTATAAACTTCACATTAGTTGCTCTTAACCAATGTGGGGACTATATATCTCAACAGACACTTGTTTTTTTTTTTTTTTTTATAACATCAACAGACACTTGTTAAGTGTATATAAATCTTTTCGTTAATCTAAAAAATTCTCTGTATTATTTTTTTTAAATAGTCCAATTTAGTTTTTATAAAGTTTGATTTGGTGAAATTAATCAATCAGCGAAATACCGAATTCGGTGTAAGAAATTCTTTGATTAATGATAAAAATGTTGTATTTTAATCGTGTTAACTTTACTTTATCTTTTCAAATAGCGATTTTTCTCATCCATTATAAATAGTAAATGGGGTGAAATCAATGTTTCCTTTACTCAAGTTTTAAAGACTTAGACATGTTAATTAAAATCTTCTAATCTTCTCTTAATCTAATCTATCTTAAAAAATGACTCTTAATTGTCATTTTTATTTTTTTTTATTTTTGAATTCAAATTATTTTAAATTGATTATGTATATCGTTTTTGTTAGTACTAATATTTTTGTATTTTCGTTTATACTTTTAAAATTTATTCCAATTAATTATACATATTTTCTTTATCTATGATCATGTTAAGAATCTAAATCATATAATCATCATTCCGGGGAGAGTTCACCAAATCATTACCCTGGATTTGAGGGTTGTCAATTGTCGACGTATGATTTGATATTAATTTAAAAAAATTTAACTAGAAATATATCAAAATTAAGTTCATATACAGTTTAGTATTTTAGTTACTAGTGGTGGTAAGATTACCTACATCAAGGACTTGGACTTAGCACCAATACAAGTAGAAAAACAATAAAAATTGAAAGTTGAAATTTTAAATTCAGATTTCATTAAAAAATAAAATACTTGAAAAATGGTATTCTAATATATTATAGAATTGTAAATAATCTGTACAAAGGGTTCTCTATTTATAGAGAATATTTGACCTAATTTTAACCTAATGGGCTTGGCCCAATACAACAAATAAATGACTAAATAATAACTAAATAATTATTATTTACAACACTCCCCCTCAAGCTGAGAAATAGATATTTATCATTCCCAGCTTGCTAGTAAATTCTTGAAATCTGTCTGAAGGAAGCCCCTTTGTTAATAGATCAGCTAATTGACGCCCAGTGGGAATGTATGGAGTGGTAATCAACCCGCTATCAAGTTTCTCTTTGATGAAATGGCGGTCAACCTCAATATGTTTAGTCCGATCATGTTGTACTGTATTATGAGCTATACAAATAGCGGACTTATTATCGCATAGCAGCTTCATAGGTCCCTCACATTTTATTTTGAGATCATCAAGTACAATTTTCAGCCACAGTAACTCACAAATGCCTTGAGCCATAGCTCGAAATTCAGCTTCTGCACTTGATCTGGCAACCACATCTTGTTTCTTACTTCTCCATGTCACCAAGTTACCGCAAAGAAACATGCAATAACCAGTGGTAGAACGACGGTCAGTCATGGATCCAGCACAATCAGCATCTGTGTAGACTTCTAAAGATAGATTGCCATCACGTCGGAATAACAATCCTTTACCAGGAGTACCTTTAAGATACTGAAGAATTCTCTCTACTGCCTGCATGTGTTTTTCTTTTGGATCGTGCATAAACTGACTGACAACACTAACAGCATAAGCTAGGTCTGGTCTAGTATGGGCCAGATATATCAATTTCCCAACTAGCCGTTGATATTGTCCTTTATCAACTGGAGGACTCCCTTCTTCATAGCCCATCTTGTGATTCTGCTCAATAGGAGTATTAGAGGGCTTACACCCGAGCTTTCCTGCTTCTTTGAGAAGATCAAGAACATATTTCCTCTGGCTGATAAAAATTCCTTTGCTTGAATGAGCTACTT